AGCGATGGCCTCCAACCTAAGAGCGATGGCCTCCAACCTAAGAGCGATGGCCTCCAACCCTAATAGCGATGGCCTCCAACCCTAAGAGCGATGGCCTCCAACCTAAGAGCGATGGCCTCCAAAGAGGAGAATTCCTTGGTGAAAACATGTGATGTGCCATATGTTCTTTCTTTCTCCAGGATCCATGCCTTGACGGGCTCTACCGGGCTGTGCGCCTCGTTCGTGGCGAGTGCTCGGCGGTGGGTCTTTCGCTCGTCTTCAGGTTTCCGGCGGTGGGTCTCGGCCGGCAGGCCATACATGGTGAAGAGGAATTGATGCAAACTGAACACCATGGCGATCACTGCAAACGCTTGCAAGAACAGAAGTGATGTTTTTTCTTTATGATTTATGATAGTCTTTGCTTTCGTCAGAACTCAGAACCCCTCAATACAGCTTGTTGCACTTGTTGAAATTAAAAACTGTTGATGGCTTGTACAGAAACAACACTGCTTCGCGTGGCGTCTGAAATCGCTACGTCCATCGGCTGGCGGTCCTCGATCATGCTCACGACTGCAAGCTCACCGACGGCCTCGGCCCATTGTAAAGGTTCGAGAATGGTCGTCTTACTCGTCCTGCCCATTGTAAAAGGGTCGATCTTGTTGAACCACCCCGACCCTGGGTGACCCTGAGTGATCCTCGGTGACCCTGAGTCCTGGTCATCTGCTAACACATCGGTTTACAATCCAACATCTGAAATCCAACATCAACTGCTGAAATCTGAACCTGAACTGCTTGACTGCTTGCACCAACGCAATGTCATTCCTCCAAAACACGAAGAGCCACCTGAAACACCCTGAAACAAGCACGTCTGCAGCTGCCACTGGTCGGTCAAGTGTTGGCACATTAGAAGTCAGAATCCAAGTGACCACAGGCGCAGCTCTGCTTTCATCAAGGTGAATCAAGTGTCTGGTCCGACCCCTTCAAACAATCACGTCTCTTCCGGAAACATCATACAGCAGCAGCAGCAGCAGCATGTACCGCAACAGCTATTGGGTGATAACCAATGATTCGGATATTGTCTTTGTGCCGTCTGTGTCCGACTTTTCATGGACCCTTCCACCGGATTATTCAGGTCCGAGCGGCGTCGCTTCCCAGCGGGTCAGGGCGACGAAAAGGTGTCTTCGATCTCTCTCTCTCTCTTCGATATCTCTCTGAGCCCCAACTGCAAATCGCGGTTTTCGACGCACCCAAAGGTCCACAGCGGAGAATGTCACGGGTCGTTTGTTGCCTTTGTTTCGTCTTTTTGTTGGCTGATTATGATCGGAATGGAGTATTGTTTGTTTCAATCAGCTGGGCTCCTTTTTGTACCTGAAGCAAACTCTCCACGTATGTGTTTCCACACGTTCCACGCATGTTCCAAGCGTTTGTCAAAGGGCTGCAGACTGATCATGATGCAGAATGCCAATCTCAGCTGCTATGATCAGCTGCATTCCGGGCGGATCACACAACTCGATGAACATCTGGGGCACCCGAGACAAGGCGTGTTGAAAAGGCTGTCGGCCTCGCATCTGACCCACTTCGTGGCAAATCGGACAGCCAAACAGTGTTCGCCTGGCCACTGACCTACTTGACCTACCTGTGTTTTCCTGGACCCATGAGCTATGGCTATGGGACCGAAAAAAGATTCAACAATAAATTGATGAAAGTACATCTAATATCTATAGTGCACTATATCATAATAGGAGCAAAAAGCTACTAGGGGCTACTGGCCTTACTACTAGGAGCAAGAAGCTACTAGGGGCTCCTGGCCTTACTACTAGGAGCAAGAAGCTACTATATTTGTTGACAACTTGACAACCCTACTTACCTAAGTTTGAATATGGCACCTGCCTCCCATCTCCAGGCTCCATGAAAACAGCTCACATTGGGTGGTTTTTGGTGTTTTTGGGGCCGAAGCTCGCGCCGCTGTCTGGGCTATCGACATCGAAGCCATCCATCGCCAAGGCCATGGAGACGCGGTGGCCCTTGAGGTCGGCGCAAAGGTTTAGTTTAGGTTCCCCAAAATGAGGTCTGTGCCATTCCCATCATAGGATTTTCCCAAAAAGTTTGGTTGATGCATTTTATATTCTGTCAGTGAGACCTTTTTCCTTGTGAGCGACCAGCTCTTGGGCACGAAGATCCTGGACAGTTCGGAGCGATTTCTGTTTGAAATTATGTGGATGCTGGATGCCCAACTAAGATGTACAAACTGGTAATTCAGGTGTCCACCAATTGCTCGAGGACATCTTTACTTGAAATCTGAGTAAGTCTGACGAACTTCAGAAAAGGACATGTTGAAGAAGGTTTTGCCCTTTATATAAGCCCCATCTAAAGGATTTGGTACATGTGCTCATATTTTTCGGCAGACCCCTTCTGTTTGGAATGTGACGCTTGTTGGACAACTTGGTGAACTGCAGTTCTGGTTCTTAAGCCCCAATGCTTGGCTCTCTCAAGATCCAGGGTCTATCCCATCAAAGCAATCTTCCAACGTAAATACGTGATTTGTTTTCTGGCACGATCTGGCACTACAATATACATCAAAATACTCCACATATGAATAACAATACCATATATATATATTATATATGTATATATATATATGTGATGCCTTAGACATCCAATCAAATATACTCGACCTATTCTCGACCTATACCAACTGGATTTGTTGGGGATCTTTTTGGTCAGGACTGGACACAGAAAACTGTGCGTTTTGTCAGACCAAACTCACATCACTCGATGCCACCAGCTCTTGAAAACACTGAACTATAGCTATAGCACCATCAAATCTGGCCAACAACAACACCAACACCAAGACACAAACACCAACACCAACACCAACACCACCAACAACAACAACAACAACAACAGAAACAGAAACAGGTTTTGGATGGTTGTTTCTTTGCTTTTATTGGGTGGCACCCACCTTGGAGAGGCTTCAACTCATGTCCTCTGCCGTCGACCTCAGCGACCGCACCACCAGTTCGAGCACCGACAGACCGTGCGACCAATGTCGGGTCATGTGGTGTCATGCGAGGTCCGGTGAGGTGCGTCCTCAACACTCAACTGGCGAAGTTCTGGTGAAACTCAAGCCAGTCCGACCTCCGGATTCAATCAACAGCCAATCAGACGTCCGTTTGATATGATCTAGACAACTTCAAGCTGTGGGATCTGGCTGTTTCAAACTCAACGATATTTAAACATGCATGGTCAAATTTGATATCATTAATTTGACCAAAACCAACAAATGACCAGAGGGGTCGTCCTGGACTTGGACTTCCGGGTTCGACGGCCACTGGATCTGGTGTCCTGCCATGTTCAGCTGGATCTGCAGTTGGGGCCCCTGCGGAGGTTGTTGGGGCTTCCCTTGGACGCCTCCGCAGTAGTCCGGGTTTGAGCCCAAAATAAGAGGAGCCGTCGGCGTGAACATGGTGCACTCTGCATGGCAATTGGGGTGCGGACGAAGCACCTGGGTCGAGGTAAGCCCAGTGCTCTTGGTTAGCTTTTCTTGAACGAAGTGTGTGTGTGTGTGTATATGACGTGTGTGTTTGTGTGTGCGCGTGTGACTGAGTCGTGCAAGTCAATTCTCAAACATGATTGGTGCAGCCAGGCCCTTGAAGATTCCGTCTTGTGCCCTTTGTCATGGCCACTAAACAGCGCAACCTTTTGATGATCTGCCACGGAAACTTCGTGGAAGAGCGCCCCTGTGGGAGCTTTAGCTAGAGCAGTTGGGCATCCAATGGCCAGCTCGGAAGCAACTCCGTTGAAGCGTCAGTGAAATGGTTGACCATGTCGGAGCGATAGACTGATCACTGAGCAGCAAATAAGCATTGGTGGATCTCTACATCATACCTTGGTACCAGTCATCAGCTGTGCTGGAGGCAAAACCTTCGAACGATTGCGACGCCCTGCCCAGTGGATGAAACCAAGCGCTCGCAGATGGACACATGTGCGGCACTACGCATGTCGCACAGGCTACTAAATACTGTAAATGATTTGTATAGTTTTGTCCAAGCTGGAAAGGGGATGCCCCCCCTGACTCTATCCTCGCCCAGCAGGAAGAGTAAGGAGCCAAAAAACAACTATCACATGTCACTTGAACGCTCTCAAAGCATCTGTTAATCCATCCAAATTCCCGCTGCAATTTCAGCTCAGCACTGATGCTAGGGCGTCCATCCTCTGCAAACAGTTTGGCATGCACAACATCCCAAAGCTCCTTTACGGACACATTGAACAAGCTGCATATATCTGCATATATATATATATCAAGGTACATACAAGCATATAAGCACACTCCAGCAATGTTCCGATGTGTTCATAACTTTTGCTACCACAATATCTCCTCAACAACCCTCACCATAGTCTACTCCATGTCCCCGTTGTCGGCTGCGTTGGCTCTTGCCTCATCGGCGTTTAGTAAGTGAAGATATCACCGAGCTTGCCTGGCATTGCAGGCCGGACATTGGGAGAATCTGAGCTGTGATACTTGGTGGCCAAAAATGCCAGTGTGGAACAGTGGGAATAGTGGAATCTTGAGGCATTTCTCCCAAGCGGTCGAGGCTCAGGGTTTTCTAGAGATTTGAACAAATCACCGGCACAGGTAAGTTGAACTATTTGGGACTGGGTCAGGTCCTTTCAACAAGACTTGGCAGCACAAATCCTTTAAAGATCTATATACTGCATTATACTGCCACTACTTACTGTCATCTGAAGACTTTTCTGGCAGAGATGGGGAGAGATGTCTAGATGATTTGGTCTTCAGGCCGATGCAATGATGAGGTGGTTGCGGCGATCCCCGAACCATCCGAACGCTGCAACAACTCTTCTCCTTCGCCTCAGGCTGCGTTGGCCTAGAAACCGCCAGCAGCTATCATCTTCAATAGCCAAATGCTCTTGAAAGGCATTGAGAACTTAGGTTTGCCGCAATCTGCCTCTGATCTGGAAGACCAACTCATGAACTCCTATGCCCAACCTTTACTTGAGTCATTCATTGTCATTCTAGATAGTTGGTCACAACAAAAGGCAAACAAACAACTCCACCAGCACTGCTACTTGACTTGGCTTACTCCACGGCGTCAAGATTGTCAAGATACCAGCCAAAGTGAGGTCAAACTCTGCATCAACTTGGCCATGGTTCCATAGCGGAAACTAGGTAACCAGGTAAACCAAGTAAAGCGTTCATGTCTATTCATGGCTCCTATCTTAGGGCGTCAGCTGCCAGGACAACAGTCATTGCCATGTTTGGGGGGGGGGCCATCTCTGTTCGTGTTAGGATCCAAAAGAGTGGAAAAGTCCCCCAGTGGATTGACATCCTCCAGATGGCTGGACCAATCTCTGATTGATCGGACCTTCCAGTCGCATGCAAGTGTCGCTTGACTGAAGTGTCGCTCCGAAATACCCTATCTATAATTACCAATGGGTTCAGGATGATTTCGGATGGGCACTTTGCCATTTTAACTGGACTTCGAGTGTCATTGAATGCGGAGTTTGTACAGATGCGCTTTGGACTGTTGGCAGGTGGACTGACGCCCCACGGTTCAGTTCAGGCTCCTCTCAAATGACCACTACTGAACCTCAGTTTGTGTCCCGGGGGTGGTGAGCACACGGCTGAAAGCCAACAGTGAATCTGGCAATACTATTGAAGTCCCTGGAATCAAAGCCATGATCGGACATTTCTCATCGACCGACTTTGAGAATCGGTGATCCGAAAGATGTTGGCTGGCAAGTTTGGCACGGTTGCGACCTTCTCCAGTCTTTTCCGAACAGTTCATGGGAAATGATGGCACATGGATCTTCTACCAAAAACATGGCTCCCCAGCAGATCTCCCAATTGGATCCATGTGGAACCACTCAAATCCAATGGCCACTGCGACTGCTTCGTGTGTGGAGCAGCTTGGGCTTGTGAAGGCCAAAGACGAAGCGTTTCAAGCGTTTTTTTCGTACGCCCATTCGGTGCCTCTTTGAGGTAAATAGGAAAGAAACAGTGCGGTTGAGGTGGGTTTGAGGCCGTTTGAGATTGTCAAATGTTTCTCCAGCCTGGTAGCCGTGTATGCTATTCATGCGGTTCCTTTCCTTACTGCATGGCATATCATTTCTTTTGTGGGTGTATGCCAAACATGTGCACAAAGCTTGCCCGGCACTGAATGCATGATGAAACGCTTCGAGATTGACCCAATCTGTTCAATTCCAAGATGTTTCGGAAGGCTCTTAGCTATAGCCCTTGGTGTGAAGCCTCACTCTCAAGATATGGATTACGTGCTGCTTGAAAGGTGCTTGCGCATAAGTCTGCAGCAAAGACTGGAGTGTTTGGCTGGTGAGTTCAAACCAATAACATTTGATGTTGCATTTCTCTTCAGCCAGCTAGAGTACATGCAAGCTATTTGTAATTGACATGCAACACCCTGTGGTGCAAAAGGTTAGCGCGTCCAACTAACAGTCTCGCATCCATGCGATAGCCAAACATGGATCTTCATGGTCCCTTATGGAAAGTATATTGAGATCCATCAGTGGTCAAACGCGCTTCTTCACTTCATGTCCATTCTCTTTTTCAGATCGGAATCGATCGAGATCTGATTTACCAAACACCGTTCTTTCAAACCGCCGTACCACCGGGCGACACCGCACGACGAAACACCACCGTCGCCCCGGTCGGCACCGAGAGACCGGTCGCCCCACGCGAGGTCACCAGCCCGATGAATGAAGAGGCCCCCCATGACTGGCCGCGCGCGGAAGCCCCTCGGCGGTTCCGGAACGTCAGCGGGAAGACGTGGTTCCGGACACCCGGAACCGCGGTTCCGGAACGGTGGGTGATTGGAGGCTGGTGGTTTGGAGGTGAACGATTTATGGCGAAATTGAGGACATCATCCATATTGATGATAAGTATTGACAAGTGATGTCAGCAATCCATGGGAATCTGTTTTTTCAGGGTGATCAGGGCAGTCGTAGAATTCCTCTGACTTGACCGTTGGTCAACAGCCAACTTGACATGAACCCTGGCCTGAAAACATTCTGCTACCATTGTCGGGCTCTGTAGCAATTTGATGCAATGTTGTGTTGTCTTTCTGAAATGGTGCATCAACATTATGCTTGTGGGGCAAGCTATTCCAAAGGGAATTGACATGTTTATCCATTCACAACTCAAATGAATTCCAGGTTGAGTCTGGTAGACTCAGTGTCCACAGTGTCCAGTCTAGGGAAAAAGGCAAATCACTTCACGTGTTTTCAGGGAGACTCCCAACCCATAAACAACCCTGCCAACGTATACATAGTCTGGACCCGTATCATTCTCTCACATGAAACACCGACCAGTCAAAATGTCTGGCTCCTTTCATCGAATATCCATGACTCGTTACGTGGCGCTCCGTCCTTGCCTGAGGAATAAAACCTCCAAACCCCATGGGTCAAAGGGGAAGAAAAAAAACACGCCAGCTTCCTCTGGACATCCAGCCGCAGTGCATTTGATCCTCCCAGCCATAGAAGTGCTACCATGTCAAGAATGTGAAGCACCCCCACCTATAGCCATGAACATGCCTAAATGCGGAGTTTGCCTGAAAACTATCTGGAGCAGAATTCAAAACCAGGTCCCTTAACGCTCTGCATCCAAGGATCTGCGCCTTACCACTCTTGGTATCAAACCAATCCTTGGGAAATCCACAGTCCAGTTTGCGCGACCCGAATGAGTTCGTCGCGGTTGACAAACCCACAAATTGTCTAGGTGTTCCGTGAAAAGGGAAGCCTCCAAACACTAGCAGGTCTGTTTTGTGGTCCTCTTTCACTGCCTTTTCTTTAGTTTCTTCACACCAGAACCTGTCTGTCACCTGGTGTTCTTCATATTCCCCCAAATCCCTCTAAAATGCCTAAGTTTCGATGCCCAATTCGTCAGATTCTCAGCTTCACCCCGAAACCAGCCGCGGCCCATCGACCGGTCGACCTGGGTCGACCGGTCGACCTGCTTCGACCGCGATCGTCCGGGGGGCGGTGAATGGGACTCGATCCGGTGTGCTGGCCGCGAAGGTCCACAGGTCATCGACCACGGTCTGGAATTCCGCCTACCAGCCGAAACAGTCAACCGTAAGAACGGAACGAATGAAAAATCCATGTTGATAGTTGACGGGGAAAAGATGGTAAAAGAATAGAGGAACCATATATAAGGCTGATATATTATGATAACCATAGTTAAACAATAAAATACTACTGGATATATATATATACATATGGATTGAACATGGAACATCTATATTATAGACCATGTTAAAAGGCTGATATATGATGATATATGTGATGTTCCTCTTCGAACCGGCCAAAAGAAAAACGAGTTGCTGCAGCACACCGTGCGCTGCTTGTGCAACCGACCAAGATTGGTAGGACCTGTGGGTGTATGTTTAAAAAAAGAAACAGGTCCACACACACAACCAAGGGTGTTCTTTTGGGTGGAGTAGCGCTAGCAAAGGATCTGTGCAAAGAGATGTAAAGAGATATAAAGAAAATTAAGGGCGTTCCTGTGTAGCAGTGCTCAAACGAGAAGGCTCTCAGGTTCGCGGGCTAGCTGACCATCAATACAAGAGTTGCTTCGATGATAACAATGACCGGATTGAAGCTGTTGAAGGTGGCTGTTTCCAGTGCATGCCGAACTCTAAAGAAATTCAAATCACCCTGTTGTGATCCTGAAAGCTAGCTTCTTTGCATACTGACACAATCTGCTTTCCTAACAAATGTGTCGTTCTTCGGAAGGAAGGAAGCACCAGCAACCAACAAAACAGCATCATATTACATTACATTCCAGAAAGCACATCCCTGCAGCTAAACAAACAAAACAAACTTGTGACAACCAAAGGGCCTGAGAACCAAAAGCAGCTGACCAAATGGACCAGTCGGCTTTTGTATAGCTATGACCTTAGTTGCAGCCGAACGCTTGGTGCTGTGGGCTGTGGGAGCCGTGTGGATTGACCTCATCAAGGGATCAAAACGGTTCCAAGAAAGGACAGTTCAGATTTCTTGGTTTCGTATTCATAACGCATCCCGAATCATATATAGGTCCATATAATTAGGTCCCTTGGGACCCAATTCTTAAGTTTCTGAAAACAATTGAACACACCTGAAGACCAATTACCAGCAACATGTCCGCGGAGCCCCCGCCACCCATACTAGCAAGCATCGGTCATCCAAAGGAATGCCAAACTTCTCTCCTGGGCCATGACAGCGGGTTTTTGCACCACCAACTGACCACAGGAATGGCTTGTGATCCGAGGGTGGGTGCGTGCGAATTCTGCTCTTGATGACGTGTGGCAATGAGCACACAGCACATATGCAGCGAACTTCCCTGCTGTCATATTTTTGTCCAAGCTTCTGTGTCGCTCATATTCAGCTGTCTCTTTCTGAAAGACCTGGTGTGGATCAAACAGTTGGGGTGCTTGGAGTCCCCTTTTCGACAACCGAGGCCTCA